AGCAGTTGCCAGCAGTTTGGCCAAATGTGGGTGGGGTGATGACAAATGCAGTTAAAGCGCTCGGCTTCGAGCGGCAGCCGAGCGTCGGCGGTCCCACAAAGCTTTTGCGTTCAATGGTGCGTTGCGAGTGCGATTGTGCGCGCCTCGCGCATGTTGTGCTTTGTGGCATTTGTGCGGCGTGTTGTAACGCGTCGCTAATCCGCGGCGGCGGCGCTTTCGACGGGGCGGCGCAGGCGTTCAAGGCTCCCTAATGCCGCGCGTCTTTGCTCCGCTGCTCCGATTGTCATTCAAATGAGAGCGCGGCGCGTGCGGGCGGAGTCCGGCTGCCGAAATGACGGGCGCCCCCCCCCCCAACCCCCCCGCGGGAGCCATTTACGGCCCGATTGGATGCTCAAGCTTCTGTGAAGGAAGCGTCACTTCCCATCAGAGTCCAGCAAACCACCTCAGGAAGGACTCCGCTGCCTGCCTGCCTGCGTGGGCGCCGCCACCACATGTACTCACTTGTGTGCTCGTGTCACCAGAAAAAAGCCAAAGAAAAAGCCCCCCTCTCTGTGCGTGTGTGTGTTTCCCAACAGACAAACATCGCTTCAGCTGGGCGGCGTCGGTGCTTCTGTGGTGGCTGGACGGCGGCCAAGTGAACCGCGCCAGCGCCAACCACGTGTACGCTTTGTTGCAGAGCGCCAACGCGCACGCCGCACGACTGCGCAGGGACGCCGCTCAGCAACGACGGGCGCTACGCAGAGCGAGGGCCGCCTTCCGCGCCGCGCTCGCCGCCATACTCGTGCAGCGTAAGGACACACCAGCACGCACGCACACACACACACACACACACACAGATTGTTGGGTTCACGCATCACCCGTCCGTCGCACGTTCAGCAAACAAAGAAAGTCTTGAGAACGGAAAGCAGCCCGACGTGCGACCAATCGCTCCAATTCCGCTCAGAAGTTGACACGTGGCCGCCACGTACGGTAAGTGCGCACATTGGCGGAAACCAGGACGCGTGCGCAACAACACGCAGACGTACACGCGCAAGCACATGTGGAAGTATACACGCAAATACACATGCAAGCCCGCCCGCCCGAAAGTTGCCGCGCGCGAGTCCGCGGCGGAGCCCCGTAATTGGATTGTTGCTGTCTCGCCCCCTCCCTGTGCCCGCCGTCGGCGGCCCCAAGTGGACCAGGTCTCGTCCGTATTGGTGGCGTCGAGCCGACAAAAGTCTCGGGACCACTTCTCCAAAGCTCAGCGCAAGAACATTGACGTGTGGACCAGGCAGTGCCAGGTTGGTACCCGGCGAGCCCCCCCACCGCCCTTGGGAGGCGGCCATCACGGTGGGTGCCCCCGTCCCCGCCCCCTCGCGACTCGACAGGCAGGCGCGTGTGCGCTGAATGGCAGCGAGGACGTGTCGAGCCTCAGACGTCAAGATGATGACCGGGACGAAGACGAGGACGAGGACGATGAAGGTCCTTCGGGGAAGATGATGAAGATGCACGCCGTGATGATGATGAAAGTGAAGATGATGAAGATGGTGGAGAGTGTAATGATGACGATGACCGGGCTAAAAGTGCCGACGGCAATGGCCACGCCGTGACAACGATGTGTCCGCAGGCGGACAGCGAGGACGTGTCGAGCCTCAGACGTCAAGATGACGACCAGGACGAAGACGAGGACGAGGACGATGAAGGTCCTTTGGGGAAGATGATGAAGATGCGCGACCGAGACGGTGAGACACGCTTGTCGTTGCGTGCGCGCGCGAGCGTGCTGACGCGTGTCCGTGGCATCAGGCGTCCACGCGTGGCGGGCGGAGGCGTTTGAGGAGGAGGCGGAGCTTCTGAGCCAGGAGGCGGAGTTGCAGAGCGGGGAGCCTTCTGCGCGCCTGCGGCGAACGCAACAGGTACTCGCTCTCATCTGATCCGCCTCTCCTTGTGAGGGGCGCGGGCGCGCCGCCGCCCATCCCGGACGTCTTGGGACAGACGGAATC